AAGCAACGCAACACATGGTTTTCAACAGTGGAACGATTTATGTGAATGTCAACAGCAACATCCCAAGCTTCTTTCTAGCCAATATTCATTATGTTGTATTTGTACCTTCAACTGTAACTGAAAGTTCAATTTGGTGTATTTTGTTTGCAAGTCTGTGTTCAACATACTATTGGAGTACGCTTAACGCGGCACAAGTCTGTACATGGACACGCAAAATTCTAAACATGTATTTTTTCATATCTGATACCAAATCTTGCAGCAATATTACCACACTGGAGATGTATATTAGTTATTTAGAGTTTAGTGTTCGATGTATTCAATGTATTCAATGTGTTAAATGTATTCAATGTGTTAAATATATTCAATGTGTTAAATGTATTCAATGTATTCAATGTGTTCAATGTATTCAATGTGTTAAATGTATTCATTGTATTCAATGTATTAAAATAACTATCCAAACATTTTATATGTAAGTTATTTATATGTATGTAAGTGTTGTCTCGTGTGTATGTACTGTTTGTGGCCTGCACCTTGACGTGGTGAGTGGGCTTTAAACTAAGACAGGCCATTTATGTTTGAAATATCATGCTAACAAACCTGCAATTACAGAATTGAATGATAGTGGTTATATATGTTCATGTCTTGCTGACATTATTACAATTTTTTAAATGGTTCTCCTCTCTCCTGCAGTCAGCTGTGATTCCAGGTGTGTGGTCTCATCCAGAATGCAGCGGCTCGTCTGGTTTTCAACCTTCCTAAATTCTCCCACACCACTCCGCTCCTCCGCTCCCTTCACTGGCTTCCGGTAACTGCTAGAATCCACTTCAAGACACTGGTACTTGCTTACCGTGCTGCGAATGGATCTGGCCCTTCCTACATCCAGGACATGGTTAAACCGTACACCCCAGCGCGTGCACTACGCTCTGCATCAGCCAAACGACTCGTTGCGCCCTCGCTGCGAGGGGGACCCAAGTTCCCATCGGCGAAAACACGTGGGTTTGCTATCCTGGCTCCAAGATGGTGGAATGAGCTCCCCATTGACATCAGGACGGCAGATAGCTTGCACATCTTCCGGCGCAAACTGAAAACTCATCTCTTTCGACTCCACTTCGAGCGTTAGAACGATTAACGAAGCACTTTTATACTAATAAAGGACTGGATTACCTAAAGCCAGTTGAGTAGCACTTGAAATGTTTAGCTCTATGAAACCTGATATACTTATATGATTCTGTTTTCTTCAAGGTTGTGTCTTCCTGGTCGAATGTACTTATTGTAAGTCGCTTTGGACAAAAGCGTCAGCTAAATGCAATGTAATGTAATGTAATGTTCATGCTGCCGCCCGCCTCCCCCCCATCCACCTCCTTTCATCATATCCAATACCAGGAGATCTAATCCAAAGACCTCATCACACCTCCTCTTCATCCCATCTCCTCATCAAATCCAGATCTTCAGCATTATCACCAGTGTCTAGACCCCGGGGGGTTCCCTATATGCTCACGGCTGCATTTCCCCCTTTAGATATACGATTTCAGGATCGGGGTCTAATCGCCAAAGACTTAACATTTATAATATGACATGTGTCAATAAATGTTCTTTAAACAAAATGAAGTCTCTCCTGATTGAACTGTCTGGACCCCATCCTCAACTTTTTTCAAACCATAACATGCCTTCAGAGGGCTTTCCTGTTGATCATGTTTGGTGGATTTTTTAATAGAATAATTGTAATCAATATTATATTACCTTTTAATCTATATAAATTGTATTAACATTTTTTGTCATTATTTTATTCACCTTGTTCTACTATGCCAGCCATCAGAGGTATACATTTGTTAACATCTCTTTTAGGTTTCATTTCTTATATTTGTGAATTTCTATATAAAATGCTAATTTCTACCTGAAATGCTTATGTATTTTTAATTACATTTCCGTAAAGCTTTCACTTTTTCAGCGGAATAAATATTATAACTGGTTTTGTTCAGCATTGCCAGCTTCACTGTTGAGCGTGATGTTGTGCCCAGCATTCTCCTGTCCTGTGCTCTGAAATCAAAATGTGGATAAGAATAAAACAACACTAAAATAAACACTACAATACAACTTGTAAAAATTTTGAAAAAACACAAGGTTGTTCATTTGTGTGTATACATATACAACACAGGCAATATACATATATATATATATATATATATACAATTATAATTAATACAACTGTTAATTTGATTAGAGCTTTGACACATATCTTTATTGATATGTGTATAAATATGACGACTTAATATATAGTCGGCCTAATAGCAAACAACTCTTTTAATGGTATATTGCAAGTGCAATAAGAAGCTACAGGAACGTTAATCTACGTCGGTAATATTATTAACTTTATTTAATACAACATTTACGGTACAAGATTTACATCATACAGCCCATGTAGTATATTATTTTACAAATTATGAATTACAGCAAACATGTGCAATATATCCATTATTACAGCTCCGTGGGATGGCAGTAAGGCGATGTGGGTCCGTTCTTATTGTGCATCCATGGGTAAAGATAAACGCATGTAGTGCTGAACACGTAACATGAACATGCCGGGCAGCGCGGTCCCGTGGGTTAGATGCGCGTTCATAATGCCGAGGGAAATAACTCTCAGAATAACGTTATTAGCACATTTTTACAACTTGAGGAATGAATGTTTTTAATAAGGGCTATACAAGTGTTCATACTGGGTTGTTTATTTAGTTTTAAAAAAATTATCCAACGAGTTACAGACCACTCTTTCCCCATGTAAGTCAATGGGAAAAAGTGTTTCCGGGCCCAGCAACCAAACGGAAGTGTAGTACCGCCGTTTGGCCATTACGAATATTCTCATCAGACTCCGGCGCACTTCCTGGGGGCTTGGATCTAGCCCGCTAAAAAGTGAACCAGCTTCTTAGTACCGGAAATCCCAGAAGTTATCTTGCTAAACGAAAATCCTGCTTCGTAGTATACCCCCCTGCTCCGGAGCAGGATAGGTTCCAGGATAAGAGATCAACTCAGTGAAAGCACCGCCTGCTGACCAATCAGAGCTCAGTTTGCGGAGTTTAAAGCGATCAAGTCATATTACAGGATAATGGAAATACAGAAAAACTGCCGTTGCAGGAAAGATGGCCGGCAAAAATCAACTGACTGTGTGAACGTGAACATTAATAGAATATCACCTCCATCTTCAGAGCAATCTGACTATTATAACATTAGCGTTAAGAAAGCTTACTGAAATATCTGCCACAACATAAGTAACCGGATCAAAGTAACATTAGGTATAGTCCGCGGGCACTGTGAGTGCAGACGTTGATGTGTCCCATTATCATTCATATCACATCATAATGTATCATATATTTCCTTATCTATGTCAGCTTCTTGAGCTGTATCTGGCCGTGCAACACTCACAGTGTCACATACTGTATGCAGAAGTATTATTTTAAGCAACACATTAAGTTGATGAAACACTCGAGTCAAATGTAATTAAAGTCAGATCCACTCGTGTGTTGGACGGGGCAGTGATATCATAAACCTGTTAATGTATGCATTCAAACACTTTTTATTTTTACCAGCTGTATTCACCTTGCAGGTGCAGCTATGTGGCTTTGATCCTGGATCAAGTGTTTAAGTCATGGACGTTTAAAGTTTAACTTCTTCATATGTCTAATATTATAGTTCCCTTTTCATTCAGGAAGTATGACGCTGCGCTGTCAGTACGCTTCTCCATGTTTGTGATTGGTCAAATGTTGCTAACCCTGCACCTTCCATGTTAACGCGCAACCGGACAGAGAAATCCTGGCTTGAGTTACTGGCCGTTTCTCAATCGCGCGTACACATGCTGCAGAGCAACTATTTCAAGTATACTACATCATCGAGTGGCGCCGAAGGACTGTTTAAATGCATGTTAAATGCCCAGCATTATGCGCCACTCTATGACGTAGTATACTTGAAATAGTTGCTCTGCAGCAGGTTTACTCGCGATTGAGAAACGGCCACCGAGTTGATAACCAGCGTCGTAGGACCGCTTAGCGAGAACGCGTTTGTTTTGGATTAGGTAAGCCGGGTAACTCAAACATATCCAAATGTTATATTGAATTGGATTCATAGTACAGGCCTCTGGTCTTGTGTAGCTGAATACAGTATCTTGATAGAATGAATGCTATTCTTTTAGGTCTAGATTGGTTCAATAATTTTAAGGCACGCCAGCATCTTTCCTTCCATATGCCTGAAGCAACATTAATTACTTTTAAAGGAAGGGCTACAGCCTTCAATAGTGATAGACATGAGAGAATAATCACATTTAATAACATCAATAATTATCAATGACTAGCCTATTTAATTACATTTTTATTTTTTTATTTCATTGGCCATCTATGATAGATGATTTGACCTCGACCTACTTTTTCCTAGCCTAGAGGAAAATATAAGTACAAATTGGATCATCTTACCCCAATTGGCTTATCTTACCCCACTCTCCCCTATCAACGTACACACAACCGCTGAACCGCATCATGCATTCAATATGTTAAAATGAAAGATACACCTGTCAACTTATTTGTAAATAAAAAAACAACAAAAAACATCAACATTGATGATACTCATGTTAGACTGTCTATTATTTCACGCAAATCCTTACTCAATGAGGGGATCTAGCTGTACTTTATCACTGTGCAGCACCCATATCAGAGAATGAGTAAGCTATGGCTACATTTTGTCATGGTAATTGTGGCACCCCTGGGATGTGTGACCACATTGATATAATAATTATTATTGTTTGGAGTTGGAATATACCTTTGTTTAGTACATCTGTTATTTTCATTTCACTAACGGGGTCGATGGATGCAGTAAGTAGTGAGGCGGAACGTTTGTGTTTGATTAAATGGTTCCGGGGTACCGATTACAGCGACGGACATTCCCGGGGTTTCCTCAGAAGTAATCTGGAAGGAAACTGAACACAACGTGTCCTCATTACTTCTGTCTCACCTGCACCATACAGGTTGGTAAACTGTGCATAAATCACAATGAATCCCCCATAAGGTTTGCGTAAATAATATGTAACGGCCCGCTAACAGTTAAAGACTTTGTAGCGCTGTTTACATGTGTAAAACCGTTAAGTAATGTGTGTGTATTGGCCTAGCTTCCCCGGTACGGCGCCATTTTGGGGACAACGTGATCTGACGCAGTAAGGATACAAGTTTGTCAGTATATCTGAAGGCTCCCGCACACTGAGTATTTACATACATGTATAATGATTGTGAATTTGTAATAAATATGTACTTTGTAAGGGTTATAAGTTAGTTACTGTTGGTAAAACAGTAAGGTTGTTTGTTACACTTAAATATGTTTCAGTAATGCATTTTAGTGACCTGCCAAATGGCAGAAGCTAAATAGTCAACATGAGAGGTTAGAGGGGTCATGAAATACTACTTTTAAATGAAAGTAAAAGAAGAGTAGTATTATATACAGGTTAATACTATATACAAATGTATTTAACGTATTTGATTGAATGTGAAATTCAATTTGACATGTGTTTATCACATAAAAGAGTAACATACAGACAGAGTGAAGGTATGTGAATGGTTATTGAGGAATGTAAGTCGAAACTGAAATGCATAAGATAATGAATATGTTTATATGATTTTGTGTAATAAAACAACCTCAGGAGAAGTAATCTGGAAGGAAACTGAACACAACGTGTCCTCATTACTTCTGTCTCACCTGCACCATACAGGTATCATCACTGTTACTGTGGTCCTCATATCGGGGACCCGTAACAGTTCTTGGGGGCTAGTCCGGGGTCGGTGCCACCTACTGGTCGGGAGCTGATCCATTAATGACTTCTAGGACTAATACCAGAGCTGATGCGAGCAGAGAGCTGTAAGCTGGAGCAGACGTGGACCCGTTGCTGAACTGAGTGATCCATCGTGAGTGAATTGGAAGAGCTGCTGTCATGTCGGAGAGCCAAAGGAAAAGTCTGGTGTGGGACATTAGAAGAAGCCTAATCTCCTTGTCAGCGAAATAACTCCTCCACATTGCCAAGGAAGTGGGTCCAGTGTCAGGCCAGGAACCGTCTGAGCTCGAGGAGGGAGACGATGAAGGCTGCTTCAACTACATCACTTTATTTATGCACAGTAAGCACTTGCTTGAGTCAGAAGATAGTGGGATGGCTCACTTGTTGATGTTGAAAGATGCTATTGATGACATTGTGAAAGACAGAGAAGTAAGTCTACCGGGTTTGCCACACTTAGAGATCAACACAGGTAACAACACTAAGCAGATATCTGAAGCTGAGACAGATCTCACCGCTTCTCCAGTCAGTTTTAATGCTGTAGGTGATAACACAAATACTGGGTTACTGGAAATGCTTAATAGCTATGAAGACCTGGGTAAAAGGTTAAGACAAAGCATTATGGCACCTACAACACAGACACTAGAACAACCCCCACTGTCACCAGCACACACTAGTAAGTCTCATAACATCCCACACTCACCAGCTCCGTCTGCTGCCCAGTCCGGCCCAGAGACAATGATCTCCTTAAGAGAGCTCTCCTACCTCCAGAGGAGGGAGTTTAAGGTGCAAGGGGGTCAAGTTGGTGATCATTCTTCGGACATAAGCTATAACCATGTCTGTAAGCAAATCGAGGAAGGAATTAGAGAAGGTGTCCATGACGGAGATATAGTTCGTGGTGTGCTCCGAATCATAAAACCTGGAATTTTCAAAGACATGCTAATAAATAAGGATGACCTGACAGTGATGGAGCTCAAAGGCTTTCTCCAGGCCCACTTAAGAGAGAAAAACAGTACGGAGTTATTCCAAGAATGAATGTGTGCAAGACAGGATGATAATGAAACACCACAACAGTTTCTCTACCGAGTGATAGGGTTAAAGCAACGTGTCCTATTCACCTCCAAACTGTCAGACGCAGGCATTAAATACAGTCCAGCTACTGTTCAAGATGTGTTTCTACATACGGTCTTGCAGGGACTTGGATATAAACACAATGATGTACGCAGAGAACTAAAGAAAGCCTCTTCTGTCAAGTGGTGAGGTGAGTGATGAAACAATATTACGCCATGTAATGAGAATCACCAGTGAGGAGAGTGAGAGACAGAAGAGGATAGGTCCTTCTCGTCGGCAAGCAGCAACTAGTGCTCATAGCGCACAACTTGAGCTTAACACAGTCCAAGAGTGTGGCAACAAACAAGAAAGCACAGCCCACAAAACAAAGACAGACCCAATAAAAGATTTTGCAGCCAAGGTAGATGAGCTAACCAGCATGGTTGAGGCTATGAGACAACAAAAGCAGCCACATCCGGCAGACATGATTAACCATAACCAATACTCTCAAAACAGAGTGAGAACCAGGAGAAAGAAACCCTTTGGTTGTTCAAGATGTGTCGAACAAAACCGGCCAGATTGTAACCACTGTTTCTATTGTGGTGATGGAGGACACAGGGCTGTGGGCTGTTTAAAGAGACAAGAGAGTCAGGGAAACTCAAGCCGGTCACTGCAGAGGGGTTGCCAGTGATCGGATCTACAATACGACCCCAAGCTGAACATTCTGGTGAGGCAAAAGCGCAAACCAGTTGTGAGGGCAAAACAGTTGAAGTAGCTGGTGCACAGAATAGTTACCAGCAAGATGAATCCTCGACTCAGTTTTCTTTTGGTTCACCAGGGGTGAAACGTAGAACTGTTGCCAAGCTGATAGGAAAAAAGTCGCTAATACAGTGTAATTTAAACGGATTGGCAGTGACTGCATTGCTTGACTCCGGTGCTCAAGTCAGTATCATAAGCCGCGCCTGGAAAGAACAATATCTGCCTAATCTTGATGTTCGACCAATATTGGAGATTATCGAGGATCTGAACGAGCTAAAGGTGTATGCAGTTAATGGCTGGGTAGCCATTATGACCAACCTGCCAGGAAATGAAGAACCCAGTCTTTCCATCAGTGTTCCATTCCTAGTCACAAGCTTGACCATGGAGAGACCATTGGTTGGTTTTAATGTTTTGGAGGAAATCATTGAGGGACAGCCAGAACGATTGATAGGCACTCTGGTTAGACTGCTTCGTAATGCCATCAGTGTTCCGGTGGAGAAAGCCGAAGCAATTGTGAGCTTTATTCAGGCAGTTGAACCAAGTACATCGCAGGTACGCCTAAGAACAGGTGTAAATGACATCGTCATTCCGGCTGGTCAAGTCACCTGGGTGAGGTGTCGTGTTCCCCAAGCCCTGAACCCCTCTGATCGTCTGGTGTTGTTTGAAGCTGATGAAGACAGTCATCAATTATCGCAGCTGGATTTAGGGACAGGTTTGTTTGAGATACAGAACCCTGCAAAGCCTTATGTCACAATTCCAGTAGGCAATAACACCAAACATGATGTCATCTTACCACGCAAGACAGCCCTGGGCGTATTGCAGCACATTGAAAGGTTTGTGGATGCTGAATCTCCTGACAAGACAACATGTACTGCAACAGTCAATGAGGTCTCAACTCAACTCCTTGAACCAATCCAAAAAGCTGAGCCGACTCCACCTCTGTGGCACCCACCAGTGGACCTCAGTCACTTAGAGGAGGAACAACAAGAGATTGCCAAGAGAATGTTGTATGAAGAATCAAAGGCTTTTGCGAGGGACGGAAATTACATTGGCTGTAACCAGGGTGGGAATTTCACGACGGCCACGACGGCCATGGCCGTCGTTGCCCCGCACTTTGGCCGTGATGCCCTGTGAAAAAAAATGCAATTCACGGCCAAAGTGGCCTTGGTGCCCCTGTCAAAAGTTCCAGTGTAAACAACGCTAGTAAAGTCATATTAGTGCGCGCAGTAGGATAGTCCCTTGCCTGTGGATCAGAGCGATTGCTCTGCTGTGATTGTTCCATCAGAAATGCCTGTAGGGGCCCGACAGCCTCCTCCTCAGCCGCGGGAGCAAGACAAGCACAGGTAAGCAAGCGGACCAAGCTGTTTTGATATGATTTAACTGAAGTATGTGGTAGTATTTGAAAGGACTTAACATTTACGTGTTTATAGAAAGTACTATTGATAGGTAATTACCATTGTATTAGCCTATTTAAAGTCGACTCGTTACATTTTGTCATGAAAACTAGCGATAGCTAGCTAGTTTGGATAGCGCTAACGTCTTCCCTTCAAGGGGTCTACATCTAGTGTTGCTTCTACAAGCTAGCAGATAGCTGTCACCTTTGAATCTAGTATTTTTCTTGCTAAGCGGTTTTGATATAATACATGACTGACTTATGTGGTTTATGGCTGAACTTAACGTATACGTTAAAGAAACACTATTGCTATTCAGCCATTTGTAAAACGACTGGTGTTGACGTTAGTGCTACACTTTTCAGTCATGTTGATTGACCAGCGTAATTTAACCAAACGGCCTTTGTGCCCTGTCATGTGGCCTTTGTGCCCTTGAAAAAAATGTGAACGGGAAGGCCAAATGGCCTTGCCCCTAAAATGACGAAATTCCAAGCCTGGCTGTAACCCTAGCCTACAAATGGTGATAAATCTGAAGGACGATATTCCAGTGCAAAGGACGTATACTTCCATACCAAAGCCGCTTTTGAGGGAGGTCAAAGAATATATTCAAGACCTACTGGTGAAGGGATGGATTGTTAAATCCAAGTCTTCCTATTCTGCCCCTGTTGTGTGCGTGCGGAAGAAAGATGGCTCTTTGCGCCTTTGTATAGACTATCGCCTGCTCAATCAGAAAACTGTACCAGACCGACACCCACTGCCTCGGATACGGGACCTACTGGACACCTTGGGGGGATACTCTTGGTTCAGCATCCTTGACCAGGGTAAGGCATACCACCAGGGTTTTGTGGCTGAAGATTGTAGAGTTATATTTGTATTTATTCATGTTAGCAAACTATGGATAAGCTTAAAATGGGAATAATTTGGGTAAAACTGTGAGCTGGATTTGGGGCCTGTTGACATGTGTTTTTGAGGACAAAGGAAGATGGGGGGGAAGGTGAGAGCATGTCTTGATTTGCATTCACCTTAGATCTTGCTACAGTGATTGGGGAAACCTAAGATTTGAGGTGTTAGTGATATTTGGGGCTGCCAATCAAGGAGGTCCAAATGGGAGGATCTGATAACTCCTCCCATTGTTAAAGAGTATAAACACAGACACACACGCGGTGTTCAGCCTCTTTCCTCTGGCTGGCTCACGTGCAGGTAAATTCGGGATCCCAAAGATAATTTGTATTGAATTTGTACTGTATTGATTGTATTGCATTGTCATATTACCATTAAAGTAGATTATTGTTTACTTGGTAGCTCTGGATTTCTTCCTGTATTATAACCAGCTTGATAGGGACGCGCGGAGATTTGAAAAGCAGACCAGATATCCCTTTAAATCTCTAACAAGATTCACGCCATCTGACCGCCTTCATCACACCCTGGGGGCTTTATGAGTGGGTGAGAATCCCGTTTGGTCTTACGAATGCACCAGCAGCTTTTCAGAGGAGTATGGAGGAGATGTTGAGTTCTTTGAGAGATGAGTGCTGTATACCTTACCTGGACGACATTCTGTGTTACTCCCAGACCTTTGAAAATCATGTGGAGGTGGTTCGGAAAGTGCTCCAAGCGATACAGAGTCAGGGAGTGAAGCTCCGTCCTGAGAAGTGTGAGGTGTTCAGGGGAGAAGTTTGCTATGTCGGACGCCTGGTCTCTGGTGAGGGTGTCCGAGTCGACCCCAAAGATCTAGAAGCTGTACTGGCCCTGAAAGCAAAAACACCGAAGACCGTAGGTGACTTGAGAAGAGTCCTCGGCTTTCTCAGTTACTACAGGTCGTACATACAAGACTTCTCAAAGATAGCAAAGCCATTATACGAGTTGCTCCAAGTGAAAGCCTCAACACAAGCTCGACAGATCAAAGCTAAAGGACCCCAGCTGTCATCCAGGGCGCCTATAGAGTGGACTGCTCAGACTACACTTGAGGAACTGGTTGACATGTTAACTCATCCTCCAGTTCTCGGATACCCAGACTTTGACATGCCATTGGTCTTGCATACCGATGCATCGGAGCAAGGACTGGGAGCAGTTCTTTACCAACAGCAGGACGAAAAGCTGCGAGTCATTGGCTATGGGTCACGAACCTTGACACCGACTGAAAGGAATTATCATTTGCACAGCGGCAAATTAGAGTTCCTCGCGCTAAAATGGGCAGTGTGTGAGAAGTTTAGAGATTACCTCTTTTATGCTCCTCACTTCACCATCTACACTGACAACAATCCACTTACTTATTGTAAGAGAATATTTTAATCTGATCTGTTTATAGAGTCTCTTATTATTCCTTAGAGTCTGTGATACTGCAAACATCTGCTTGTAGTCACTCAAAGACTCCTCTGTGGGTTGAGGTCACAGGTCAAACGCTTCTCCTATATCCGTGGGGGATGTTGAGGCTTGTCTGGATCTCTTTGAGACAAGTAGACCATTGTCTCGCATCGGTTATTGATTAGGTAAACGCGGGCTTTCTATGGGCCGGCCTCTCCTCGTGTTGGTTAGATGTTTTGTGTCTTTTGGTTCAGAGATCGCTGGTGGAGCACTGGACATGTGTGAAACTAAGATGATCTCCCGGCCGTATTGTCTGTACTTTCTCCAATAAAACTCTCAGTGCTTTTTGGCTAACAACGGTTCCAGACTCCTTCATTCTACCTCAACATTGCAACAACAGAAGTTTACCTTCACACTTATGTTATGAGCACGGCCAAACTCAATGCGGTCGGTCACCGTTGGGTGGGGGAGTTGTCAGACTTCCGCTTTAACATTAAGTACAGACCTGGAAGAATGAACATTAGGGGTGTAACGGTTCACAAACATTTCGGTTCGGTACGTACCTCGGTTTTTTGGTCACGGTTCGGTTCGGTACGTTTTCGGTACAGCAGAATTTTTTTTAACAAAACAAAACATATATATATATTTTTTTATTATTATTATTAAACTGTGAATAATGTATTCACTCAAATAAATACAAAATATAATAAAATAAACATTAAGGTGCAGCATTTCGATGAACTGAAATAATGTGTATTTGAACTTTACTGTACTAGTACTCACAAAACATAAACTATTAGTTTTGAGTTTTTAATTATTATTAAACTGTGAATATTCACTCAAATAAATACAAAATATAATAAAATGAACATTAAGGTGCAGCATTTCGATGAACTGAAATAATCTGTATTTGAACTGTACTGTACTAGCACCTAAGCAGCCAGTTTGACATTAGGACTTGATTGTCATTGTATGTTCATGTTTTTTTTAAAGAAAGATGAACTTGTCCACATTGCTTGCCGAAAGGGCAGATCTGCTGGCACTAACAATGTCTCCTGATGTGGAGAAAACCCTCTCGCTAGGGACAGAGGTAGCAGATACAGCCAGGTAGCGCTTTGCTAACATGGCAACATAAGGATATTTGGCGTTTGTAATAGCTTTGGCTCGGTCTGAACTCTCTGCGAGTGGTGGAGGCTTAAATGCTAGTGGGAGTTGGGTTTGCACTTCAGTCTTTTTTCTTTTGGTACCGGTGATATTCACGTTCGGGTGATGCCTTTTCAAGAGTGTGCAAGTTTGATGTATTGCCAGCCGCGTAACCAATTTTAGTTGAACAATGCCGACAAACAGCTTTGGTTCGGTCCACCTGTCTTTGTCCGTCATCCTTGTACGTAACTGCGAAACCAAAATGTTCCCAAACCGGAGACTTCAATGATGCTGGAGGATTTTCGAGCTCAACTTTATCTGCGTTCGCCATTTCGCCAGTTCCTCAAATTACTGACTACATTTGAACGCATCCCTCTGACCAGCTCTCATAGTATGCCTCTCATCCAATGAAATGACTTGCTCGCTCTATGACGCGTTGAACCCAATGTGAGCAAATTACTCTGAATGCTGCGACGCAGCACCTGAGATTACTTCCAAAAAGTTATTCACGTTCTCAATTTTTTACGTTTAACGTTATATTCGTTCGGTACACTTCGGTACACACCTGTACCGAACCGAAGGGCCCGTACCGAATAATTTCGGTACGGGCACGTGTACCGTTACACCCCTAATGAACATTGATGCGGATACACTGTCCCGTATCCCTCTTGATATTGACCACTACATGTCAACGTGCACAGAAGAGTTGTCGCAAGATGTGGTGAGTGCAACCTGGGAAGGAGGTCAAGCAGCTCAGAGAAAAGATGTTGCCTGGGTAGCTGCCCTCTCTGCCTCCTCCCTTGACGTTATTCCACAGCCGTGCACACCTCTACAGGAAATAAGTCACAATGAGTTGGTTCAAGCCCAAAGGGAAGACCAAACGATTGGAGAGATCGTAAGGCTAAAAGAAGTTAGTGATAAACTTTCAGATGATATGAGGAGATCAGTCAAGGGAACCGCGTGTAAGCTTCTCCACGAGTGGAACCGTCTACACCAGGGGTGCTCAACCTTTTTTGAACCGAGAGCTACTTTTAAAGTTGCCAGTCTGCCGAGATCTACTAGTCCAAATAGAGAGGCGTAGCCATTACTGACAGCCTTCTACCAGGTAAATACACACTTCTACTTGTATAAAACTGACCTTTGTACGATCAATACTCCATACTGCAGATCCTTTATGTTACCTCTTTCTAATCTACACACATACAAGTATTTAACTGAAGTTACACAACAGTGGTGTTGATACATAGTTGGAGTTTATTCACACGTCACATACTACAGTGGGTAATGTTTTCAAGAAACATTGAACAGTGCTGCCACATATGACACAGGGAAAAAAGAAAAGACTCTGAACCCTTTCTTTGCCATTATATACAAATAGTGTTGCTACAAAAGTATAAATGAGGCTTACTAATAAGACAACTCAGATCTGAAGCTACACAGGAATCTGCTGCCAAAGTGCAATAAAAAAGACAAAATTAATAGAATCAAACCCTTTTTTTGTTGCATTTTAGTAGAGTATAAAAAGAAATGCCTTTAAAATAGGATGCAAGCAACACTAGTTTCTTAACCTGAATTGATAATAGACTATAATCAATTTAAGTTTGCATTCTTATACCATTTTGTACAATAATTATAATGAATAAATTCAAACAAACTAAAACTTACAGCTGATTAATAACGGTATCCAACTTGAGTTTTTATTATATCAAAAACCTGTTGAAATGCTACTGTTATTTTCACTGTCCCCAAAAAGCGCCTCCGCAGCCTCCAGGAAAGCTTCTTTCACAACTTCGCCGTCTTTGAAAGACTTCATGTTTTTCGCAAGAACGTGACTGACACGATAAAGGCCCTGACACACCAAGAAGTCACCAGAGGACTCGCCGACGTCGGCTGTTGCGTCGCGGTGTTCTCCTGCGTCTTGGCCATGTGTCGCACGGGAACACACCGCAAAGACTTCAGTGCGTGAGTGGCAATAACTCTCCTTACCAGCAGGCGGTGGTAGTGTGTATTCGTCATTACAAATAGACAACAACCGGAAGACAGAGAAGAAGAACAGACTGCGTGATATAAACAACAACAAATAGCATGTGCAAACTCCAGCCTGGTTATGATCCACTGCTGTCTGCCCGCCTTTGGTGCTCCACAACTACCCGACGGGGCAAGTCTCCTGTACCGGGTGTACTGGGTTCGCAGAGAATCCCACTTCTTCCTCAGCTCTTTCTCTGAAGCACACAAATAAACGATGTAAGCATTGTGGCTAGTTAGCATGTCCAATTAATATCTATATGCAGTGCCAAACTGCACAGCTAGCAACAGCTAGCAACAAGATAACAACAAAACACAAGGTTGAAATAACAAATTACATTTCACGTTAACGTCACTGTACGCTGGCAAACAATAAAAAGCCAACAATATCTGCTAAAGAGCTCAATTGATGAAAAAGATAAACCTGAGAAACCAAGTTGCGTTTCAATCTCTCGCCAGAGTCCGGTTTTCACTACTCAGTTCGAGTACCTTTTCTCTGTGATGTCGTACAGAGCTGGCCTCTCCTGGATCAATGTGATGAGCAGGTCTTCGTTGCGTCATTCCAGATCGCCATGATGAGATGAAAATGAATATCAGTCTGTGTGTGCCTTCTTAAATCGTTTGTTTACGTCCCTCACTTCCGTTTCGCTTCTCATGCACTGATTCACTAGCTGAACAGCCAATCAGAGTGATTGTTTGGTCCGACTGCCAGACCCGATGCATGGCCGATTCAACATGTTGAATCGGCCATGCATCGGGTCTGGCA